ATATACATTTTTTATCGTCTGTGTGTGTAGAGAGAGAGAGAGAGAAGAGTCCAAAATTTATTACAAAGTTTCAGCATAAGAAGTTTAAAAGAAAGGAGGAATTAACCATTCTTTTTTTTTTCCCTTAAGAGATGATGATTTCATTGATGAATGAAATTACAAAAAGATGAATCACCAAAATATAATTACAAAAAAACCGTCCAATTTGATACAAGATCGTTAATACTATAACTTGTAAAAGAGAACTAACCATTCTTCAATTTTGGACCCAAAAAATTGGAAGTTGTATCTTGCTGGAACCCCGACGTAACTAGGGCACGACACAATGTAGGGAATCGTTGCAGGAGTGGCCTGAGGTTTTCGAGAGTACATTGGGTTGATGAGCTACTATGTCGGTTTACACCACTGCTACTCAAACAATCTTGTATTGGGGAAGGTGCATACATCAGAGTTGCTAGGGCTGCCATTTCTCCTCCTCCTTCAGCAATGTCACCAACAGTACAAATAATCCCATCAATATCCCGAACACTGAGGTTAGGATCATGAACAGAATTCAGTGACATTACCGAGCGAGCATTAGAAAATGATGCATCATATTCACAGCCCCTGATCCTGGACAGAAGTAACCATCTTGCCCATTGACAATCTCCCTACACCAACACAGCCCAAGAACAGGGAGCAAAGATGAGCATATAAACTAATTTTTGAAGTGCATGAATACGAAATATCAAAGACATACTCACCATCCATAACTAACTATAAATGTAAAATAAATTCAATGCTTTGTGGAAAAATTACATAGCGTGTAGAAGTTGTACAAGAATATAAGACAACTGATTGTCCCACCAAAACGGTTCAAATGCCAACATTCCAGTTTTGTGTGAGCAGATATCAACTAAGAAGCACGGACACGGATAAAATTAGGAGATGCATTTATTTTTTTTATATATTTTTTTAGGATATAGGTAAATTTAACACAATACTAGATTTATACTATTTCAATTATGTATAATTAAATTTATAAAATAAGAAAAAGAAAATAAACAAAGACTGAGTGGACAGAAACACAACGCACGAACAAAAAAATATATCATTTTACTCAAAATTGGGGTTGAAAAAAAGAAGCAAGGGACGTGAAAGAGAATTGTTTTGAATATATGAGAGGGTTAGAAGAAAAAAAAAAAGGTTAGGTTATTAGGGTTTACCTAAGAAGCAAAAAAATAAAAACAGAGGCAGGGGCGGCATCGGCGGCGGCAGCAGGGGCGAGCGACGGCGTCGGCGGCAAGGGCGAGCGTCGGTGGCGGCGTCGGCGTCGGCGGCAAAGAAGGCGTGCAGCGGCGTCGGCCTCGTGGAGTGGGTGTCGTGTTTTGTTTTCGTGGGTGGGTGTTAGATTTCTTGTCATTTATTTGTTTTTCTTTTTAAATTACTAATGGGCATTGGGCCCTTTTTATTTGGCCCAGAAAACCCACAAAATTGTCATTCTCATGTCCAGGCTGCGTCCAGCCCGTATCTGATTTTAAAAAATAAAATAAAATAAATAAAATCAGACACGCCAAAATACTTGTCCGATACATCCGAGCGCATCCGTGTCCGATTTGCGTGTTCGAGTGTATCCATGTCGGACACAGATACTTCGCCCAAAAATGTGTGATCGTGTTTCCCAGTGAGTAACTTTTTGGAAAAATATAAAATGAAGTAGATGAAAAATACAATAAAGTAATATTGAACTTGCCTAGCTTGAGCCAAGATCAATATAAATCCCGTTTGTCTATCTGGTCCTCCCCTACTTATAATTCCGAAGAAGACCCCTTAAACCGACACACTCACTCACTAATATAAGCTTCTTAAGATACGTAAGAAACAACATTAAGAAAGATGGCTGATTATTATTTAATATAATCAAGATAAATAGAAATAATAAGTCGCACTGAGTGCATGTGTTGGTACTTACCGCAGCTTCCAGTGGTGAACGAACTGAATTATTATCAACAACCAATTTATAATGGTCCAGATAAAGGTACAGTGATGTATGAAAACTTTATACAATGCTTGCATAGAATCAACATCATATACAATGCTTGCATAGAATCAACATATAATGCTCCACTCTTGTTTAAGGATCTTTGACCAACTGAACTGCTGATGTGATCATCCACAGGAGCAACAAGTCTATTTGTAATAAAGCCAAAACGGGCAAGAAGAGGTACTAGCTCCATTGTGCTTTTGTTGGTGTGCAAGTGTACACTATCGTCGCAGCAAGTAATAAAAGTTCGAATCCACAGAGATTAAGTACCAACAATAAATAATTACCCAAGAAATCAATGTACTAAACTAAACAGTTTTTAACCAACCAATACATAAAAGAAGCCAATGTAAAAATTGAAAAGAACGTGTAAACAAAACTCAGTAATCACCACAATACTAAACATGGACAAACAAATAACTTATCCTTAAAACGGGTGCAAGGGGGAAGATGCTTCGTAACTCTTTCTGGCGCACTCTAACAATACTATAGCATTAATGAAGTGAAGTAGTGGTCAAACACATAAGAAACTTTTCCAGGCTTCCCAGATTTTCTGCTATTAGGATTCTTAGACAAACATTAACAGCATATGCGGACAGTTTATAACCGTGCTAGGTGGTTCTTATCCTTAAGTAGTCACACTCTATCTCAAGTAGAATCTAGCCTGAAATTAAGTTTTTTCGCTCCCTATTACAATTTCCCAGAAGTTAACAATGAGCTATTCCAACATGGTGATCATGCATATTGAAAATGGATTAATAAAACAACTTCAAATCAATATTCACTACCATTAATAAAGAACAACAAAGTTACAGTCTTCGAAAGGAGTTCACTACATCTTCCCCTTACACAAGGTGGTTAGCTACGCAATACCAATACCATAAGGGGAGTCAAAGAAATATAAGAATGAAAATAATACAAAGAGTGTTAAAGATGAAGAGAAGGACCTGAAGGTCGGCTCCCAACAAGTGTTCTTGGTCTCTGTTCAGCAACGGGTTTCTGAGTCTTCTTCTCCTCTTGACTTCTTCGAATAATTGAAGAGGTTTTCTTGAAGTAAGGGTTGAGTGATTACAAGTGAACGGTGTTGTGTGTGTGGAAGCTTCTCTTTCTTGTTGGCATTTATACCTCCTAATGTTTTTAGAGCAATAAAACAAACCCCGTGGGACCCAGCTCTCACTTCTAGGTGAAACCTCTAGTTACTGTGGTAATTCCCGTTGAGAAGTCTTTTTCACTGTCAGCTTGTCGTTTTCTGCCTCTTTTTGGACTCGACGTTGTAGCATCATCAAAGTTGCAGCAAAATGCTCAATATTAAATCATTTACACTTGTAGTATTATAAAGGAAGAATCTGCTTTCTATGTTATTTTAAGCACAAACTCAACGAATATGGGGTGCATATGAGACTATATTTGGCTATCTTATATGAAATTTAAATACAAATAACTTTCTTTTGTAGAGTTATCAACAACTAGGAGTCCCTATACCCAGAGGCACCAGCGCCTACTCTAAGGTCCGGTTCTGGAAAATAACAAGGGTTTTTGGTATTAAACTCACAAAAAAGTACGAACTTGAGACCTTTAAACCAATATGACCAAGAGACCATAAACCTTTACCAACTGGGTTGTCCCTTAGGACTAGTGTAGCTAAGTACCTAAGTTATACTTCAATAAAAGCCAACTTGACTTCCTAAACCTAACGGACCACCCAAAAGGACCAACCACATGCTTGTGCACATTAATCCACGTACAAACTGAAATAATAGGATGTCAGCCTCCTCCATTTAAAACTATTAGTTTCAGTCTCGAGGTATCTTTCATATGGGCACTTTAATAATAGTAGAACATTTTGACTTAAAATTTTAACCTGCGACATCTAATCATATTCTACTTTCATAAGGGCAATTTGCCCCAAAGCCCAGAGAACTTAAGGTTGAGGTTTTACATTTCTAACTGATGGGTGGAAAACATTCTGAGCATGATGCAGTATCTTATAATCATTTTCAGAAATATTGTTAGATTCACGACCATTAGGGTTATGCTAATGGATGTTAATACAATGACATTTCAGGAAAATAAAAACAGCGTCATCAGATAGGAGTGCAAAGAAAATCAAGAAGAGCATTCTCATTCAATGAAATGAAATATTGTTACGAGGTAAAGAGTGTATTTCTTCATTATTCTAACCATTCTTAGGACACAAGTGATCTGCCGAACCCTATCCAAAGCTTCAACTTTTATCAGGGTGACCATGGATACTTATGACTCGTTTGGTAACGTTCTTATTTCTTGTAAGTCCCATAGGAGAGAAACAGAAAGCAATCCTCTTCCTTAATTTTCCTAGTGGAAAGAAATATCTTTCGCATGGTGGAAGACTGTAATTTCACCAACCTGGGACTTCTCTTGTAAAATCTAAGCAGAAGCAGTTAAACAAGAGCACTTATAACTATTCCTCGTACAAACCTTTGATTCCTGAATATTCTGAAGCACATTAGATCTAGTATTACCCCAAGGTGAAACACCTTCATCTTTCATGGAAAAAACCCTACATGAATGAGCCCTCAATGACTCTGAATAGTTCCTCTGGCAACCTATGTACGTCATAACCACCAACCTCCCAATTAACTGGAGACCTCCCAAGTTCAAAATTGTGAGAATGTGGAAGAAGATTTTTAGATTCATGACAGTGCTCTAACACATGATCAACCGCAGAAACAATATACGTTACACCAGATGCATCAATCACAGCAAAATGTGAGGAATGAGAATCAGATAACAACCTTTTAAACTTTCTTCTGTCATAAAAACTACACTGTCTACGAGATAAAACCAGAGTCACTTAAACAAACAATAAAATCATTCGAAAAGCAGAAATCAGCCCACTCCATTCCTGGTGAAATATGACTTTTATCAAATTTTACAGAAGAAACCCAATTAATTCCTAAATTGCCAACACTAGAAACAAGAATTAAAGTATCCAGATATTGAATCCACTATCTTCAAAAGAAATCCAATTAAAACATGCGAGTTGCTAGAAAACATTTTGAAACATTTGTATGATTTATTCCTGCCAATGCCAAGTACATTGGATAAAATATCAGATGGAAAATGTGTATCTGATGAAGTAGGACTTTTTATCACTGGGTGTTCCAAGGATAATTTCATGCCAGCTTTGTTCAACATAAGAATAATCAAAGGATTTTGGTGGCGGCAGATTATAATTAAATATGTTAATTGAAACCACCTTTTTAAAGTAAGGAACTGATTTTATTTCTGGGTACAATAGTCCAAATGTCGTCTTCACATTCAATAGTCTTAACTTTAGCAAGAAAAGATTGTACATATCTCTTAGGTGCACTTTTGCCCAACAACAGTGCATCATCCTCACACTCATTAGCAAGAACTACGCAACATTTCTCCATTCTGATTTGTCCGGTTGCTGTCAACATTTTCAGAGGTTTCACAAGAACCAGAACGTTCTAGGACCTCCATATTTTGAACTAACGTTGAATAAGGTCCACATTCCACCCACCCTCCTTTCCAAAACTCAGGTTGCAACATATTTTTAGCCTCTGAATCAATTTTGTTGGGTTGGCAAAAAGCCTGAGCAGTAACACCATGATCTCCGGATACAAATAAAGTTTCCTTAAAAGAAGAATCTTTGTGCTTCTTATAGGTGTCTCGACAAAGCCCCCAAGTGAGGTTACATCACCAAGGAAGTCGTTACAGCTATCCTTGAAGATTTGTTTCCAGTAGGAGAATCGTTATGATCAAATATTGATTACTCTGGGAGGTTAAGTTGAGGCTGCGAAGGGTGGAATTTGAACACCGGACAAATATTGAATACTTAATATTATTGAAATATACTTGTTTTGATATTTATATCGGGGTAATTATATGAAATATAGTATAGTTAATAATTGATATTTATATCGCAGTTTTATCCTATGAAAAACTTAATTATCTATAATCATGAGAAGGACAATGTTTACTGCATAAAATAAACATATGTAATTAATTACCTACTAGAATCAATATCCACTTTATGTAACCAACTTTTATTTATAAGATATTGTTATTGAATTGACAATTATATATATATATTTGTTAGTAAGACATATCATACATTTTCGTTTATAAATTTATATCTCAAAATATATAATATTCACGGTTGAATATTGTAACAGGCAATAACACTTTGGTTTTATAAAACAAGAAAAACGAGGCATAAACATAATAAAAAAGTGCAATACTTTTGAATGAAGTAGAAGGATATCATTCTTTTAGACTCTAGATTTTAGCCATATCACTATTATCTATACAATAACTTTATTTTTCCTCTATATTTATCTTTTTTTATAGTTTCATGATTTTT